CCCCTCCCCTCTCTCTCTCTCTCTCTCTCTCTCTCTCTCTCTCTTTCTCTCTCTCTCTCACTCACTCACTCACTGATGGGCTTGTTCTCTTGTAATTGCTCCCAACTTTCTGACATTTCCTTTCATTTGATTCCCTTTGTCCAGTATTGGCACTGAATTAACACGTGATGATCGTCGAAAGCTCTATTCAAATTTTGGTTTGCTGTAAGCTCTTGCTCTCTTGTATTTTAATAGTTGGTTCTTAAAGTGTGTTCCTTGTATTTCTGAATAAATTATTATTTTGCAATACATTCACTCTTTTTTTTGTATGTGTGACAGGTATCCCTATGGCCATGAAGAACTTGCAGTCTGTGAGGAAATTGAGCAGGTAAGATTCACCAACAGAGAGTTCTACTTTCATTGAAGCAGTTGTTTGCTTGATATCGTATTATAAGACTCTTGGAACTTGGAAAGTGCTATAACATTCCTAAAGCTAAAATCCTGATGGATCTTAGTATAACATAAGGAAGTATAAAAACTCGACTTTGTGGGTCTTAAGCAAAATAATCCTTTTCTGAAATTTGAATGGAAACCTTGGTATTTAATTCAAAAAGTGGAACCATTAATTAAAATCAAATATTTGTAAAGAACCATGAATCATCACACATTGTCATAGACACCTAGTGGTAAAATGGTATCCACCAAAAAATAAAAGAATCTGCAGTGGTTAATCGATATTTTTTTTTTTTTGGGAAAACACTGGGAAAATTGTGAATCTGAAATAAACATAAATTGGATTTATAAAATATTGTTAGGCTTGGTCTGATCCAATGTTGTCAGATTTCCTTCGGAGTCCCTCAGTTTGGTGAGAAAAATGAAGCAATTCGGTGCTCTGGCCGGTTCCGGGGAAGATGTCTGACTTTTTTTTTAATTTAATATAAGTAAATTAGATATTTGTATAAAAATATATAAAAAGAATGAAAATTTTGAAAATAAAAAGGTAAAAAAAAACTTTTATATAGATATTTCTTTGTTGGGGCCGAAGCTTCGGCCGAATGGGCCTGAATCTGACTGAAGCGGTCCAAATATAATCGAAGTGGCAGCACCAGGCTTCGCTTCAGTCTAGGCCTAAAATTTGAAGGCTTCGGCCCCTTCAGCTGAAGCGAAGCGAATTTGACAACGCTGGTCTGATCAACCTTTTTCATCCCCAAGTTTTTTCTTTCTCTAATTTTGTTAGAACTGTTATTTACAAATTCTTTAGTCATGATCCTGCGATCTATAAACAAGAAAATGACAATGGTTTGATGTTGGCATTATTTGATGGGACTATTTTAGGTTCGTGCTGTCATGGAGAAGTATCCACCATATCAGTCCATCTTTTCAAAGTTGTCTTATGGTGAGAGTCAGATGCTTGACAAGGCATTCTACGAGGAGGAGGTGAAAAGGCTGTGCCTTGCATTTGAACAACAGGTAGGAATGCATAGTCTTTAACCTTTAGCATTTATTAGAAGCAGAGAAGTTTCTGATTTGACAGTTCAGAAGCTGGCATGACTTTGAATTTTAAACGTCCCAGTTAATCAAAACTGAAGCTTAAATTGTAAGGAACCTGCGACTAGGCAATATTTGCGAGCTTAATGTGAGTGTATATGTAACATATGTGTGGATACATTAATTGCTGCCATGGTTTGTGCAAACATCAAGTGCTAGCTATAGATATTTTGTACTTTCTGTGGTGAAGGTGTTGCTTATGAATGGAACTTTTTAATAGAGGGAGGGAATGATTCCTAAAAAAATACTTTAGAAGGAATGATTTGCACTCTCGGTGTTATCATCTCAGGGACAGAGTAATCAAGATACTAACGTCATTTACTGATTTTGGACAGTCATTAGATTAGAAACGATGTGGTCATGTAAAGATAATGTAGATTTTGAAATGTAGGATGATGTCTGAAACAAACATTTTGATGGTGGAGTCATGTTTCTTTATAAGTAAATTATTGACTAAAAGAGAAAAGTAGATTAGAAGTATAATTGAAGGGCATTGTGAACTTAAGAAGGAAACTTGATGGGCAATTGTGGGTTGGTTAGACGTTGAATTTGGCTACAGCTATCAGAAATCAGCTAGTAATGCTGGAAATCCATCATTCAGGCTCATCACTTGCATATTGGCATTTTGGGAGTTGTGAATGTTTAACGTGATTGGTGTTTTAGGAATTATAATGTAAAAGAATTGATTTACATAATAATTGAGAAAAAACAAGTAGGAAATGTGCTATATTGGGCCTTGTGGTTCTCAGGGGATGTTAAGTAATAATTGTTGTTAGATGGCCCTTGTGGTAACTAAATATTCTGCCTTTAGGATGATTTATGGTGCCTAAATATGATGTTTTTCTTAAGACTTTCTGTTTGGCCTTCGATCTTGGCCGAGGATCTTCTGTTTTTTTGAGCCAGGAAGGGACTTAGCATTCTGGTGTCCTCATTGTAAGAGGGCTCTCAAGGTTGATTCTTTCCCCTGATCAGTAAGGATGAGAAGTTTGTTGAGAGTAGGTCTGGTCTGACAGGAGGATCTAAAATTGGGACAACCTAGGCTCCTTTTCAGTTAGTACTTTCTGTCATGCTCGTACGGATTCAGTTCTAGCCCTTCTTTCAGTCGCCTGGTTTTAGCCCCTGACTAGCCATTGGTGTGTTCAGAGTGGAGATTATTGAGAGGATTGGGGGTTTGACCGTCATCTTGAAGTCTTACATGAAGAAAGTTTTGGGTATGACAGTTGACCATAGGATTTAGGAACATAATTTTGTGCTCAATAAGCCAGAGATCTCTAGACCCAAGATCTGATGTTGTAAGCTGTCAATGTAATCTGTAAAACTACATGATAAAAAAAAAAAATTGTAGAACTTGAACTTTGATGGAAGCTCAATTGAATTATGCCCATGTCTGAGTTGGAAGATTAACTTAGATATTGTGGTGTGATGCCTAAGGCTTTTGCTGGCCTGTTGGGTTTTTCAATTCTATTGAGGAAGAGGTGAGACAACTAAGGACTTCCTTTTCTGGTCAAGGGTATTCAACGACTGTTGTCAAATGAGTGTGAAAGGGGGCCCTCTTATCCCTAGGAGGAGGACAGTCATTTTGTGACATAGTTAAGGAGGCTATTGACGTTCCTGATTCTTTTCGCTAGTTAAGGGGTAATTTTAGTGGGACTGAGCTTTGGGGATCTCTTCCCATTCCCACAATAGACATATTGTATGCATTTACTTTGTTACTCTTATCATATCTACTTTGTGTATGTGCTACTTATCATGATTTAAATATTTTCCTTTCTTGGTGAATGAAAGTTTCACGATCACTTGTCCAAAAGAAAGAAGTCCACCAAATGTGTTTCAACTTCATAATCTGCCTATCACTACTAGTATATTTTTTACCATTCGAGAGGGCCCAATGCTTCATCAGCTGGTTATTATGATGTCATATGGTATCAAGACTTCCCATCAACAGGATCATGCATGATTCAAACAGGCTTTAATTCTTGTTGTTAATTGGTCATAAAACTTGGTTATGCTTATGATTTCCCAAGCAATAGGTGTTGTTAGTTGCTCAACTGGTTGTTCTTCCTTAACGATAACACAATAATCATAAGATAGTATAATAAGCATAAAATTAAACAGATACTAGGAATTTTGATAGGCTTATGCTCGTCATTGAGATTATGAGGGAATTTAGTCGTCTTAGTTTTAGTGCAAAAATGGGTTTCTTCATTCAAAGGGGTAACTTGATACAGGCGCCAATTGTCCATCTTGAATTAGAATTAAAGTGCTTATACAGCAATGTTTTTTTGTCAAATCCATTAAACTAGGCGGTCATAAAAAATGCGTGGTTTCTGTTAAAATATTTAGGAATGTGTGATTTCTGGGTTTTGTTTGAAATGGTGATTTTGTTTTAGTCTGTTTCTTCCATGCAATTTCGTGTTCTTCGCATATTTATTAGTGCAACCATTGTTGTTTTTTTAATTAAGACCTGTATATTCTTGTTGCAACAACTATAGAAGTTGCCATTGTTCTTGTGGTATAGCTATGAAAAATACAGTGAACCCTTAAACTTTGTGGATTACAGTTTCATTTTGGGGTGTTCTTTGCCTACATGAGACTGAGGGAGCAAGAGATAAGGAACCTGATGTGGATATCAGAATGTGTGGCTCAGAACCAGAAGTCCAGAGTGCATGACAGTGTTGTTTTCATATTCTAGTTTTGTACTCAATAAAATATGATTTGCATATTTTTGATGTTATGCTATTACTGTGTGAGCTTGGAGTTCAGTTCTATTATTAATAAATTGTAACTTGAATATACGTTCTTTCATGTAAAATTTTCTCTCTATCTCATTTAATCAGTGTAAAATGTTCTGGCACAAAGAGATGAAAATGGTGTGAAATTCAGACTAAATCCTTGACTAGTTTAGACCAATAACTGGTCAATTTTGCCTAATAAACATGGCCGACATGCATTTCAGTCAGGGACAAGAATACAGATGCTCCAAATCAAGTGCAGCAGTGTAAATTTGGGATTTGATTGAGAATAAGGGTGTGAAAGATTGAATTCTTCCCCATTATTATTTTTTTATAATTTTTTCATATAATCGCAGGTAAGAAAACATGTAGTTCTAGAATTAGTACGTCATCTTTCTTCTCATATTATAGTCGCAATCTCTGTCTGCAAGCACATTCGGTATATCTAGCTCTGTGAGGCCAATCCATTGTTTCTCTCTCATGCGATGAAAGCAGGACTCGCATCTGCTCTCCTTTTTTCAAGTGATATCAATTATTTAAAGGGTGCAGTTTGTATGGAGCCTCGGCTCTAAATAACCAAAGTAGATCACACCTTCAAATGGTGTCGAAAAAACGTGGTTTCAAATTTAAAGCTTGAAAAATAGTGTAGATCGAACATATCTATGAAAACTTGAAAATCTTGAAAATTGACGATCCAAAAATCCGTTGCATGGTGCACTATTTTCAAAACTTGAAATCCATTTTTTTCTAATGTCCGTACATCTTCATGTCAACTTGAGGATATTTGGGCATCAAAACAACCTCTTGTAGTAAAATTTTTGAGGTAGGCTATAATTTGATTGTTTAGAGCTTTGTCTCCATAAAAGTTCTTTCCTTATTTAAAAAAATAAAGAATTTGTATGTTAATTTGATAATTTAAATAATGAGTCTTAGAAATGGTTGAAAAATAAAGATTTTATTGTGGCATAAATTAGTTAAAATAAGTGTAGTTAAAATTTTAGAATCAAGATGTAGTATGACTTCATGTCCATGTATTACTACAAGGGAAATTTAAAGATAATCTCTATTTTGTTTTGATATTAGAAAATTCCTTATATTTTCTATATTACGTTTAAGTCCTAATTTTTATTTTTATTTTTCAAATTATGTCTATCTCAGTCAAGGTTCAAACTGAGGGTTTTCCTTATTAGTTATTGGTTATCTAATGTTCAAATTGGTTTTTCATTAAAAAGCACTATAGGGCAGGTTTAGACATTTAATGTCCGAACTTGGTCACTTGTTAATATTTTCGAGCAAGATGCTTGTTCGGGCATTGAATATCTGTACCTGTCTTTGACCCAAGAAAATGACAATTGAGACATGCATATTTGAACTTATCATTTTTCAGTGTGGGTTGGGTTTAGACATTAGATGTTCAAACCTAATCAAATTCAATGAAGAAAGCTGCTTCTGGGTACTCGTGGTAGTAGCAGATAAAATTTCAGAAACATATCTGATTTACAGGCAACTTCATCCTTCCATTGGCATGACTTAAAAAATCAGACAGAGAATGAGTGATGATTCCAGTGAAATGGTTATTGCAAGCCACAAGTCAGTTTTGAATACGTACGGATTTGGATTATGCATTTCTTTGATTTGATTTGAGGGTCTGGACAACCTTTGCTATACTAGAATATAAGTAGGCAGGTTCATACATTGGATGCTTAAACCTACGCAAGTAGTTTTTCACTCGAGAAAAAAGAGTGAAAAAAGATTGTTGGAGATCTGAACTGAATTGAAGGTATTTGGGAAAAAGCAGAAAACACAAATAATGAGGTTTGGTTGTAAAATATAAAATATACAAGACTTTTCTAAATTTTAAAACTATAATGGGATTTTCCTGTAAATTTCCTTTCCTAGATCTCTTATTATACATTGTTATTATTTATTTTCAAAATAACTAAATTTTATAGTTGAAATTAAAAATTGTCATCTACTAGATGATATAATTGGGAAATAACAAAAAAGTTCCATACATGGACCGGGTTTCTATGCGGCCAAGTATGCATATGTAGAAATGCGGGCGTATTAATAAATTTATTTTTGAAATGGATTTTTGGACTTAATTTTTAAGGACATGTAATCTCTAACATGGATATCATGAATATGAAAAACTAAACAAACTTTAAAAACTAGAAATAATGATTCTAGTAAAAAAATATTTAAATCGTTATTTTCTATTGTTTCTAGATGGAATGCCTACTTGCATCCATTTTGAAGATAGATGCTTTACACTCTTTGGACCGCATAATGTAGTCATGAAGTTCAGCCCGCATGAAACAATTTTCCTCCATATATTTATGATACTTTAACAAGTCCCCAATTTTTTTTATATTTTACGTTTTTGTCTGACTTTTCGGCATTATTATCCGAACTATCATGTTCAGAACTGGACTAAATACTTTCTATGTTATTCTTGTAAAAGTAGTCCAGAAGTTCGTTTTCACTCATTTTTGAGCTAAATTTAGGACTGAAACTTGGGACTTCTAGACTCAAAATTCACTTAAAAGACGTGTGCTGTGTGGATATCATACATTTGACCCAGATTTTTAAGGAATATACAATCCCTAACATGGGCATCATTAATGTGCCAAACAAAATTTGTTTTAGAAAGAGACATTTGAGCCATTGTTTGACCTTTTTCTTTGCAGGACCATTAATTACATCCATCTTTGAATGGTTTATGCCTCCGGGGATAGCTGTCCCCAATGCATGGGCTACTTTTCTTATATAAAATAACTAAATTTCAAACATGTCTACTTTCGGACCTTGAAAACATGAAATGTAGGTAATTTGGTAATCTAAAAAAATTGTAAAAACTAGGTACAAAGAGGACGACGCAAAAAAAAATATAGGTAGAAATTAAATAACTTTTAATTACATGAGCGCATAATTAACTCGAGTAATTAAGCAAGTAAAGTGTAATTATATTATAGAGAATTTTGCAATGGTATAACTAAATTCTTATAAAAATTTCATGTTGAAATATTGTGGGTGCCTCCAATTATGGATGCTTGAAACTAAATTTTGATGGTTCGTCCTTGAGAAACCTAGAAAAGACGGGGAATGGGGTGTGTGTCGTGATGTTGGGTGATTATATGATTCATCTTTGGGAAACCCAAGATGGGCCGGGATTGGGGGTGTGTGTTGGTGATGTTAGGGTGCTTTTATTTTTTGTTTTGCTAGCTACTGCGAAACATACTGAACAACACTTTTACGAGGGTTAATTATCTGGAGAGACAAGAAGTTGAGGAATTCTTTGATTGTAGAAGGTATTCTTCTGGCAATGTTCACAATTGGTATAATAGATCTTCAAGACCCGTGACACCTTAGGTCTAATGGGGCTGCAAATTTTGAAGCTTTTATCATATGGCAATGTGAGCTTTCACCGCATTTTTCGTGAGGCGAATGTGATTGCAAATGATTTAGCCAAGACATAAGGTGCTTTAAACTCTTTAGTTCTTTTCAAAGTTATTTTTGTAAGCATGTGATGGTGTTTGTAATAGCCCAATTCATCTAATAATATATAGTACTCTTGTTAAAATAAGAAATATTAGGTAATTGTGTGCTTCTCCATGTTTTTTTAGAGGGAGTGATACGTTTTGAAGAGAGGGAATTATGAATTAAGGATAATCTCAAAGATAAAACCAAATCAAGACCAGACCAACTATGGTCTTGTTGAGAGGGAGAATTATGAGAGAGAGGGAGAGAGATAATGACGAGACAGAGAGAGAGAGAGAGAGATAATTATTGAATTTAGGATGGATAAAACCAAAGCAAGGACCCACGAGCTATGGTCTCATCACCGTCCAATCCCAGCCATCCAGCCACCATATATCACGATACATATCAATAATTGTACTACGTTTAGTTTCGTAAATTTTGCTAAAAAATCTAGTATTCCTTTTTGCTACATTCCAAAGGACATTTTCTATATTTATCCCCTTCAAAAAAACAAAATAAAACGGGCGACTATCACAATATTTTTCGTAACAAATCAAAGCAAGGCGTAGCGCCCAAACATATTATGCTTTAAATAGTGGGTTTGTATGTAGAGGTCACAATTATTTACTACCGTGAAATTTGATCGTTTGGATGTGTTTGAAATTTTTTTATTTTAGATTTGAGCTTGGTCAATAAAATAATTGCTGCCATTCAATATCACATTTAGTGGTCAAGATCAATTGTGACCAACTTTGTATCGAAAGTAAATAGTTTCATCAAAGATATTGTTTTTCTATTAGAAATTTTTGTGATAGCTCAAAAATTAATTTTTATATTTAATTATAATATTAAAAAATTTAAAAATGATACAGATTTAACATATCTAAAAAATACTTAAAAATCTAAAAAATTGATGAGTAGGTAATGCATTAGAAGATGTACTATTTTGAATATTTAAAATTTACTTTGTCTCGTCATATGGGTCGAAACGATAAAATAAAGATATTTCAACATCCGAATAACCACTTGTTGAATTTTTTTCTCTCAATTGCCGTCCACTAGTCCTCAGTTATTCCTAATTCAAAGGTAATATTTATCAGTTTTGCGATTTCCTTAATTAAATCTGAGGCCCTACGAAAACGTAGAGCTCAAATTATCCTTAGTTAACTAATTTAAAAGTAATATTTTTTAGTTTTGCGATTTTGGTAAATAATTCTGCAGCCGCACGAAAACATAGAGCTAAAAGGAATCGTCATATATTTTCTCACGCAAAGTAAGGGAGAGAAGTGTAAAAAACGAGGGTGAGGAGAGACTGCAACCGTGTGCCTCATCTCTGAAAAACAGGAGTCTCAAAAAGCAGGGAGAGGAGAGAGACTGCAACCTTGTGCCTCACGGAAAACGAGAGAGAGGAGACACCAAAAACCAGAGAGAGAGAGGAGAGAGACTGCAACCTTGTGCGTCACGAAAAACAAGAGAGAGGAGACACCAAAAACCAGAGAGAGAGAGGAGAGAGACTGCAACCTTGTGCCTCACCAATTCATTGAGGGAGAAGGACTGCAACTTGCTTTCTCGTCTATTTCTAGAGAGAGAAAGAAACTCTCCAACCTTTTCCTCCTTAATTCCATCCGGAGAGAGACTGCGATCCTCGTTAATTCCTTCCGGAGAGAGACTGCGATCCGAGAGAGACTGCGAATTAGTGAGTTACAATCTCTTCCTCGTTAATTCCTTTGGTAGAGACTGCGAATTAGAGAGAGATTGCAATCTACAGAGATTGTAACTCTCTCTTCTCTCTTTTTCAAATTATGTCTGCAGTTTCTGTCCCGTCTTCCACCCCATGGCCTCTTCCAAACGAGAAGAATCACCAAAGCCCTAACGCTAGCCCTAATTCCCAACCAGAATCTACAGAAGCGCCATTTTTACTAGCCACAGATGAACCACAGAAGCCTGAACCCTCCATACCACCATTTTTACCAGCTATGGAACCCTCCATACCGCCATTTTTACCAGCCATGGAACCAGATGAACCGCAGAAGGACCTGGAACCCTCTATATCAGAACGGGAACCAGAACGAGAAGAAAAAACAGAACAAGCAACACCATCCTCTTCTCGAAACCGCCCAAACCCTAGGCCTTCTTCTGCATTAACTAATGAATCCTCTGAACTCTCTCCCTCCTCTTCCTCTCTGCTCCATCTCAGCTTCAACCAAGATTGTGGTTGCTTTGCTTGTGGAACAAGCCTAGGCCTGCAAATCTTCAATGTCGATCCCTTTCGCCCTATTTTCAGTCGCCATCTTGGTCCACCTGGTGTTGCCATTGTTGAAATGCTCTTTCGATGCAATATCCTAGCTTTTGTTGCAGCTCCTGGTCCTCACCCTCTCTTCCCACCCAATAAAGTCATGATCTGGGATGATCATGAGACAAAATGTATTGGTGAATTGTCTTTTCGATCTGAGGTTCGAGCTGTCAGGTTAAGGAGAGATAAGATCATCGTGATTTTGGAGCAAAAGATTTTTGTGTACAATTTTTTTGATTTACAGCTGATTCATCAGATTGAGACCATTGCAAACCCTAAGGGATTATGTGAGGTCTCTCATGGAGGTGGGCACATGGTTCTGGTTTGTTTAGGGTTACAAAAGGGGCAGGTGAGGATAGAGAATTATGGGTTGAAAAGGACCAAGTTTGTCTCTGCTCATGATTCTAGGATTGCGTGTTTCGGGTTAACCTTTGAAGGAAAGTTGGTTGCTACTGCGAGCACGAAAGGGACACTTGTGAGGGTTTTTAGCACAGTGGATGGAACCCTGCTTCAAGAGGTATTGCCGGTTGTTTTAGTTTTTGGCCTCTCACTTTCTATATGTATAAAACTCTCTATCATTTATATTTTAGATATGGAGTTTGGCTTGGAATTGGGTTTCTTTTTTTCTCTTGATTGCTTTGTCGTTGTTCAGATTTAGTTATTTGAATCAAAATTAAAAATTTTGGAATGGATTTACTGCTAATGTACTATTGTGCAATGATAAAAATGTTATCATTTGAAGGCATGTTTTTTGTTGTTGATTGTTCAGTACCTATCTTTATTCCTTTTTCTGGATCTAAGGTACTAGTTCTGTTTTGCAAGTTATTGGTACTAATCGTGTGTTTTTCTGTTTCACTGGGGTTTTGAAATCGAATCACATTTAGAATTATAGAAATGGAATGATAGTCATGTTATTTGGGATTAGTCGGCTGGGTGCAACCTTAGACATAGAGGTGTCTTAATTACAATTTCCTCCATAGGTATTCTTTACGATGTTTTCGTAGTGAAATGATTGGCTACGTGTCAAAAATGTGAGAGGTCTATGGGTAAATTTTTTTTTTCTGAAAGCTGTCATCCATCTATTCTTTTGTGTTTTTTTGTGGTGCTTTGAACTTGATTTTGTGTGGATTTGGGTTTTGGTTAGACACAAAATTTGAAGGAGTAGAACATTTGGTTCTTTTTGAGTTCCTTCTCTCATACAATTTGTTAACTATTAAGGCTTAGTTCATTAAAAGCTGGTGGAATATGGCATGTTCTTTGTTCTTGTTGGCCCACAGTCTTGTAATTTCTTACTTGCTACAGTTCTGTAAAAAAAACTTTGAGTAGTTTGCTTGTCCTGTATTGGGCCTATATTAAGTGGTTTCTTCTCTATTTTTCTTTTGCTGAATTGAAACCCCGAAGAATAAATTGAGGATTGCGTGCTGTAGATTTTGATTTAATAAAGTTTGCTCCAATTGGCAGTCCAATTTGTGCTTTACATAGGACTCATCGTGTTTGTTTTTCACTAGTCTTGATTCTTGAATTTTTTTTTTCTTTTCTCTTGTTTAAATTCTTTTAGCTTTGTATTGATGAATTGCATCCTTGCTCTTAGTTTTTCATCAAATGTTACACATAAGAAAGGGAACGGCTTTAGTTTTCGGAGGATAGTGATTGATTGTTTTGGTTTAGATGGCTGGAGAAAATAAGGGCTGATGGCATAATTTTTTTTTGAAACTGTTAACTGTTTTGATATGAGGTTTGTACACAACATGAACCACCAGCAGAGCAGCTGTTCAAGAATTAAAAACCCCTTATGGGGTAAACAAAAATAGCTTTACGATCTATACAGATTACAGTATTCTGTATACAATGTGTTCTATTAAGTTCTCAGAAAGGTGCTCGAAAGTCTCCTGTGAGATTGTCTGGGAGGCCCATCCTTATTGAGGGCGTCGGCCACAGCATTGGCCTCCCACCAGGTATGCTGCCAAACCACCCACATATCCCTGCACTGATGGAAGACTTCATAGAAAATGTGGGCCAAACTCCAAGGTCTCTGTGTGGATTCAGAGGCCCACACTATCACATTCTTCGAATCCCCCTCAACAATCAGGGCTGATGGCATAATGTTATACCAGTTGATTTTTTTTTGTAGATTCTTAGATGATATACAAAATGACATTGTTATTGCAGCTTCATTGACTTTTTTTATATTTTTTATTACCCATCATATTTCAGTTATCTGATTCTGGTTATGTTGATTCATTGGATTGTAAATCAATGGGCAAAATATAGGAAGAAAGGACGTGACGGAAGAGGGGAGGGTATAGGAGAAACAAGTATGAGGAGATGCAGAGGTGAAAGGGAGTACTTTTTGGGGTAGGGTTTGGTGGCAAGGGGGTGTGTTGTGGTGGTGGGAGAGGGAGTAACAAGAGGCCCGTAGAGAGAAATTACTTTAGAGATTGATGAATATAACGGAGAAGATGTTTGAGGGGGTGGTTTTTCTATCTCTTATATATACATGTCCCGCCATGTTGTTGTTAATCACAAGGTAGTGTCTCTCAGTTAAGAGGGAGCTGGGAGGACTCTCTTTTGACTAAGAACCCCTTCCCTTCAGATGACCTTAGCCCCTGATTATTGGTTTTCTTTTTCATTTTCCTTTCTTTGGGTTATGTCCTTTAGGTTGCATCCCTTATACAATTTGAGATAACTGCCATTGCCTCTGCAATTATAGTAAAAGTTGAACTTAGATCTCTGTTTCAAATCCGACAGGCCAGATTATTTATGTTTTGCCTGAAGAAAACATCATTGAATGAAAGAAAAACACTTTCCTGCAGTTATGAATGTGTTGTGGTGTGGGGTGGCATGTGTTTTTTTACCACACATTGTTTTGTTATCTAGTGCCTCCCTAGACAAGTGTTTTTGTGATTAGTAGTTAGCCAATATTCCATATTGTCTGGATTCTATGTGAAATGTACATTACTGGTTCCTTGCTAGACCTACTACACTTGTCAATCTACTTGTGACTAAAGAAAGTGCTTCTGGAGAATGGGCTCTAGGCAGAGGTGCTCGGGGTGGCGGGTGCCAAAATGTGATGTCTAGGGTTCCATTTTCACTACGTCCCAAGTTAAGATTCCCAAAAAAATAAAGTGTCACTGATGTTGTGTTTGCCTGAGCTTGGCTATTCAACTTCCATATGAATGCATGAGTCTTTGTGCCTCATAGGTTATTGAGTTCATCAAGGGATATGCATAAAGATTTGGCAATGGTTAAGCTTATAAGAGTACACAGCCATTAAATCATCCATGGGTGCATATGTGACATGTACATGTCTCAAGATTGATGCATTCAATTACATAAACTTTTTCATAGTTACATATGTAAGCAGATCCTAAGGGCCTTTTGAAGTTATTTGTCATGTCTTAAAACTTGCAATGGCATTCTGGAATCTCTCTCTCTGTCTCTCTCTTCTCTCTTTTTGATAATCTCTCTCACTCTCTCTATATATATATATATATACATGTGTGTGTGTATATCCATATATATGTATGTAGTATATATGTATATGCTTATCTCCTGTGTCAGTAATTCCCATTTATAAGATTTTTTTCAAACACATTTAAGTACAAAATCGAACATTCAGAATACAACACTAAGATCCCAACTTTCAAAATTCAAACCAAATCTCAGACCCCATTCTTAGAAGGTGGAACCCACCCATCCTAAGGTATTCGGGTTTTAGTTTTATGATTAGGGTAAATTGTGTTTCTAGTTGTTTTTTCAGAATCTTGTTTTAGAAATTTATCTGGAAGAAGAGCGATATTTGTGGGGAAAGATGGCTAATATGATACAAATAGACACACAAGCACAAACACACACAGTCATACACTAAAAGTTTTCACTTTTCAATAATACAGTAGAGTATCTATAATATTGAACAAAGATGGTTACATAAAATAGACATGGGGACAATTGACTGTATGATGGATACTACATAAATAAAGATAGCTCAGCCTTTTCTTCCTTCTCGTTCCTTGTCATTCCTTCTTGTTCCTTGTCCCTCTTCAATAAGGTTTCATGTAAATTGGTGAAAATGACTTATTGCAGGATAAAATTGTGATAACATTAGTATGTTATTGGAAGCGAATTGATAGGTCAACTACTTGTCAAATGATTATAATAAATTGCTTGTAATTTATAATGCCTCTAACATCTTTGCATAAATTATTGTTCTATATTCATATCTTGACGACGATATTCATGTCCTTGATGATGATATTCATGTCTATCTGTTTTCAGTGTCTTTCATATTATGATCCATTTTTCTATCTTAATCAAAGCTTAAATTAGAAGTTTGTTAAATGCATCAAAGGTTCGAAGAGGTGCGGATAGGGCAGAGATATACAGTCTGGCTTTCTCAGAGACTGCTGAGTGGCTTGCAGTCTCTAGTGACAAGGGCACAGTTCATGTATTTAGCCTCAAGCTCAATTTCAAGGAAAAATCACCTGTGCCTTCTGACACCAATGCTCTAACGTCTGGGGGCGACCATTCCAGTTCATCACTCTCTTTCTTCAAGGGTATGGCACAGTGAAAGATGGATGAAATTATTGACCATTGTCTTGTTGTAATATAGTTAAATGAGAAAATGCTGCTGATTTCAAAGACGAAATTTGCTGAGGGAAGGAAAGAGAAAGTACATGAAATTAGCAAATGTAGCTGGTTTTTAAAAATTGAATTTTTCGGAAGGGTTTTGCAGTTTTTCTTGAATGAGGGAGGGAGGAAGAGGTTTTGTGGTATTTTGTCGATTGATTAGTTTTCCAAGTTGTTGCTATTATAATTGAAGATTCAAATTTACTTGAGATTTTGTAGTTTCTTATTTGGAATAACAGAAAGATCCATTTACTCGGAGGGCTGAAAAAATCTGTTTGTGTGCAGGGGTTTTGCCTAAGTATTTCAGTTCTGAATGGTCAGTGGCACAATTTCGCTTGCCTGAAGGGTCTCAATACATTGTGGCCTTTGGACATCAGAAGAACACAATTGTGATACTTGGGCTTGATGGAAGGTAACTTACCTGGAAAACAGACATTTTTGAGATGTTAAAGATTTTGACTAGAGTTTCGAGGATACCGAAGGTTAAGTAATCACTAAAAATGAAACAAAAGAAAAGGAAAAGGGTTGGGGTGGGGTGGGGGGATGGGATCTGCTCTTTACCATGCATTGGGTCTTATTCTTTTCTTCAGGAAACTTGGATGGATTATATGCCTGTTTGTGTAAATAGTTTTAACTTTGAGCGGTTGCCAAAACATTTTTGCAGTGTTTTTAGGATTAGAAGATGCTATATCCAAAATTTGATTGATAAAACAATATCTAAATAGCTAATAGAAAAAGGAATAATGCAAGAGCCAAAAACTGATAAAAATCTTTTATGAGATTTTGGTCACGTATTGAGGTTGTATGCGTGCTGTTTAACTGCTACTGTTCTAGTACTCTACTTCTTCAAATGACAATTAATGTCAAGTCTTACTTGTAAGAGAGTTTTAGACGCACCTATTTAGACTACAATAGCCAAAATGTTTAATCCACTTTCTAGTTTCGCAGTTTTTTTGTTATTCACTGTAGACAGTTTGAAGTTTTAATTCATCTTTCGTTATCTTTTGGATTTCAACTTCTTGACCTCTCTCCAATAGTTCAAGTCAATTTGACAACTGAAATTTGAATGGATTTAAAAATGCAGCTTCTATCGTTGTCGGTTCAATCCTGTTCAAAGTGGAGAAATGGTTCAGCTGGAGCATCACAACTTTCTGAAGCCGGATGTTACTTTTTAGCGTATGAAATGAGGATATGATCTTAATTTACAAGAACAATCTTATTTCAAAGGTTGGTAGTCCTATTTTTCACTTGTATTCTCCCTAGTAACACACCATGGGATACGGTTTGGATGATGATTCACCCTAAAAACCCTAAATTTTATGAGATTGTAAATATCTGTAATTAGTGGGCTTGCTACCCCTTTGGGTTGCTTGGGAGGGAACTTGTGAATATGGTGGAACATAGTTGCATTAGTTGAATAAATGAAACTGTATAGAGTGCCTGTATAATGTGAGTAGAAGCCAATGAGTTTCATGTATGCTGGACTTCATCATCCATCTATATCAAGCTTCTATTATTCTTATAACCTGTGAATTTGCTAATGAAAGGATTTTGAAGGGAAGTGATGTATAGAAATAGTTGGTTGCCAACTTGCTGTTCCTTTGTTTATATTATGCCCTAAGATGGGATGCCGGAAATACGAAAATGCCTCGGCACCATCCCAGATTTGACATCTCATTCCTTTGCAATCCTCTTGTTGATGACTACTGCTTAACTACCTAAGTTTTATGAGAGAGAGCCTTACAAGGTTGTATAGTTGGTTATACTATGGTTTCAGATCATTCCTCATTTTCCACGTAAGGAAGTTTCATACTTTTCCTCAAAAAAAGAAGGAAAGGATTTGTTTAAGGTGTCGAGCTTATGCTATTGAACTAAGATGCACCTCAAAAATCCTTTAGAAGAGAATTTAGACATTGGGGAAAAAAAAAAAAAGCCTATCTGAACATAGACAAGCTCAAAATAAAGGCTTCCAATGGCATGCGGTTGACCAACGTCATAGTCGATTGGTTGGAGTAGAACCAGCGCCACTGATGGCATTTTGGCATTAGAAAACCCCCCAATTTTTCATCTTGACTTGGAGATGTATAGATACGAAGGAAAAAAAAAAAGGCATTCAAGGTTTGAATTGCAACAAAGTTATTTGGACTGGCTATTTTTAAGAGTTTAATTTTTATAGATCAACTCAATTTGTACTATTTTTTATTAAATTTCATTGCTACAGCCGAAAAATAGATTTTAAGTCATTCTAAAGTTTGTGACACCAGAACTACATAGGTAAAATTTAAAGGTGTGTTTTGTATAAGGTTGAGGCTCTAAACAATCAAAGTAGGGTGTAGGGTGTGCCCCTAAATAATGTTGAAAGATATTTTTTGGTGGCAAAAAACTTTTGTGATGGTTTGAAAATTTATTTTCATATTTAATTATAGAATTTAAAGCTTTAAAAATAATGTAGATTGAGTAGATCTATAAATATTTAAAAATATTAAAAATTGATAGCCCAGATAGTGCATTATAAGATACGTATTTCAAGCATTGAAATCTAATTTTTCACATCTATACATCTTGAGGTCAAGATGATCAATTTGAGGGTTTTTCAATGTCAAAATAATCTCTTCTAGTGAATTTTTGAGGTATGTTTTAATTTGATTATTTAGGATCTCAACCCTATATAACTTTTCCCTGTTTAACCGATGCTCTAAGCAATCAAAACATCTACCTCAGGTGGGAAGGGAATGGGCAAAAATTTTATGGGTGCGGTTTGTATAGAGCTGAGGCTCTAAACAATCAAAATAAAGCGCATGTGGTTTGTATAGAGCTGAGGCTCTAAACAATCAAAATAAAGCGCATCTTAAAATAGTGTCAGAGAAATGTGTTTTCAATATTGGAAATCTTTGTGATAGCCTTAAAGTATATTTTTATTTTTAATTATAAAATTTCAAACTTCAAAAATAATGTAGATCAAGCATATCTATGGAAGCTTGAAAATCTTGAAAATTGACGGTCCAAAAATACGATACAAAATGTACTATTTTCAAAACTTGAAATCCATTTTTTTATGTTCATACATCTTGATGTCGAGATGTGATCAATTTGAAGAAATTTAGGCATCAAAACAACCTATTCTAATGAAATTTTTGAGGTGGGCTCTAATTTGATTGTTTAGTGCCTCTGCTCTATATAAACTTTTTCCGTTGTATATACCTTGCTGAAACTAAGAGGGATTCGTCTTGCACGAAGTCATGAACAATAATGGTGGTCAGAGGGTGAAAAGTTCAGAGAAAGGTGGTTTGCCATGCTGAGCAGCAATATAAGTATTTTACTGCACTTTGATCTTCCTCCTCTATTGTGAATGTAGATTTTTGGGATTACATTTGATATAATCACTGTTTTTTTATGGATGCAATCTCAAAAAATAAGAGATAAACTCACTGTAACTCGACATCTGCTGTAGTTGTTACCTTGAGAAAACACTCAAATCAATCTTTCTCCAATTATAAATTGGAGTTGCTCTTTTCTTGCGCTGAAAAATGCGTAATCTTTCTACAATGACACTATATTTGATGTGCATTTCTTATGAACAATAACTTTTATTCTTGTGATGGATAATCTACTACAATATGGGACTTTTTACTACTGTAATGGAGGAGAAGATACTCTTCAATGTGCTGATGATTTATCTGCTGAATAAGTCTAATCACGTCCATTTTGTTTTTGAATGATAATCAAATTCATGCATGAATAAGTTTTGGGTTTCCAAGGTACAAATTAAGGTTTTCTTAGGAGCATCAAACATGGATTGGATTAGAGAGAGGAGTTTGGGGCAGGAAAAGGAAACACAGGGAGGGTGCATAGGTTTCGTGAGATTTCTTGAGCTTAGAGAGACAAGAACATAAAGAGAGAAAGAGGTTTCCAATGAGGTGGCAATGGGGAGTTGCAGAGGTAGTAAGAAGTGGTAGACTGAGAACGGTTGTTGAGTTTAGAGAGACAAGAACCCAGAGGAGAGAGAGAGAGATAGGATTTCAATGAGGAGGTGATGGGAGTTGCAGAGGTAGTAAGGAAGTCTTAAGTATCTTTCCAAATTTGATAAACATCACTGATGCAAAACTAGTTTATAAGCCATGATCAAGTTCTCGCTTTCAAATTTGACAAACATCGTAGTACAAAATAGTTTCGAATTATCAAATTGATGCAGCAATACAAAATTAGTTTTGAAAAGTTTATATAAGGTTGCAACCTTAAAATGTCGAATTCCATATGCTCTTAAAAAATCCATCGGATAAAATTCTTTTAATGTTAAG